AAGTGGTAGAGCGCTATCCCTGGGCTGAAGAGCTGAGGGACAGCGCCCAGGCCCAGAGTTCAGGCCCCACGACCGGACCCAAAAAAAAAAAAAAAAAGAACCCTTTTACAGACAGGCACCAGTAGCTCACACCTGGAATCCTAGCTACTCAGGAGGCTGAGATCTGAGGATGCCAGTTCAAAGTCATCTGGGGCAGGAAAGTTCATGAGACTCTTATCTCCAATTAACCACCAGAAAAACTGGAAGTAGAACCATGGCTCCAGGTGGTAAAGGACTAGCCTGGAGTAAAAAAGCTCAGGGACAATGCCCTTTTATAGGGGGAAAAATATCCCTTCCCTACACTCAGAATGTCCAGGACTCTGGTGGGGAGAGATGCAGCATTTGCCTACCTGTAGAGTGGAGTCACTGCCACCAACTGCGCTCTGGGCTCTGAGCTGGCTTAGCTCTGCGTCCGCAGCCTCCTGGGCAGCCAGGGCCTCTTGCAGGCGGCGGCTCAGGATGCCCACCGCACTCTCATAGGCCTTGTGCTTTGTCTTCACCTCCTTCTGGGCACTCGTCAGGTCTGACCCTAATCGCTTCATCTTCTGTTTCTGCTCTGTGATGGCCCTGGGACACAATAAAAGATGCAGAGAGACAAAGTGAGCTCACCTCCATCACAACCACCCTGGCATGTGGCGTGCCAAATACACCAAGGACAGGGTCCACTTCACCTTCCAGAGCTGGACAATGTTTTGGACCTTATGCCCCAGAGAGGATTCCTTGGGTCAACACCATTTAGAGTCTAGTTGCTCTTGGGGGAGATTTAAGAAAGCCTGATCCTGCACTAGTATGGCCACTGTTAGGTGAAAGGGCAACAGCAACTGTCAGGTGTTCTTGCCAAGCCAGAACAAGAAGAGCTACATGAGTGCCCTAAGGCCTATCATACCCTCCACCACCATCAGACCTTCTTTCTTCTTAGAATGGTTTAAAAATGATCCTTGTGAGGGTAGAACTGGTCTACTCCTACCAAATAGAAACATCCCCAAAATTATTTCTGAAGGTCAACAAAAATTCAACAATCAAGTGCATGAAAGAATCACTGACTCACAAAAGACAAAAAGAAAGGGATACACCACAGTAGTAAAAAGATCCTAAAAGAGCAGGTGCAGTGGTAGATGACTATAATCCCACTACTCAGAAGGGTGAGGCAGGAAGATCAAAAGTTCAAGGCCAGCCTAAGTAACAAGAGAAGACCTTGTTGGAAAGAAAAAATAAAAAGTAGGCCTGGCACCAGTGGCTCACTCCTGTAATCCTAGCTACTCAGAAGGCTGAAAGCTGGAGGAAAGTTATGGTTCAAAACAAGGTTAGACAGAAAAGTCCATAAAATTCTAATCTCCAATTAACCAGCAAAGGGCCAGACTAGAGACGTGGCCCAAGTAGGAGAGCACCAGCTGTGAGCAAAAAAAGCCAAACAAGAGCAAAAGGCCCTGAGTTCAAGCCCAGTACTGGCAAATGAATTAATTCTAAAAAATGTAAAGGAAGCCAGGCACCAGTGGCTCATACCTGTAATCTAACTACTCAGAAAGCTGAGATCTAAGGATCCCTGTTCAAAGCCAGCCCCGGCAGGAATGTCTGTGAGACCTTTCTCCAATTAACCACCAAAATATCAGAAGTGGAGCTATGGCTCAAAGTGATAGAGCACTAGCCTTGAGCAAAAGAGCTCAGGGACATTGCCCAGGTCCTGAGTTCAACCTTACACCCGACAAAATAAGGAAATAAATGTAAAGGGCTGTTTGCACTTACATACCTGTGTATGTCTGAGATTTATGTTTAGGTTTATATGAGCATAAAAGATTGTAAGCCAGGTACCGGTGGCTCATGCCTGTAATCCTAACTACTCAGGAGGCTGAGATCTGAGGATCGCGGTCCAAAGCCAGCCCAGGCAGGAAAGACTCTTATCTCCAACAAACCACCAGAAAAACAGAAGTGGCACCGTGGCTCAAGTGGTAGAGTGCTCTCCTTGAGCCGAAGAGATGAGGGACAGTGCCCAGGCCCAGAGTTCAAGCCCCATGACTGACAAAAAAAAAAGAAAAAGAAAAAGACTGTGAAAGATGAAAAACAGCCTGGGCGCCAGTGGCTCATGACTGTAAACCTAGCTCCATGAGAGAATGAGATTGTGTTGATCACAGCTCAGGGCCAGCCCAAGCAAAATTTCAGGAGATCCCCATCTTAACCATGCCTGTCATCACAGCTCCATGAGAGCTAAGATTGGGGAAAATCATGTTTCCAAGCCAACCAGGGCAAAAAAATGCCTAAGACCTCTGCCTGCACTTATATTCCCAGCTATAGCATGAGGTGTACACAGGAGGATCAAGGCCCAAGCTGACACAGGCAAAAACAAGACCCTACTTCAAAAATAGATGGAAGCAGGCTGGCAGTGTAGTTTCAGCAGGAGAGAGCATGCCTAACAAGTTCAAAGCCCTAACTCAAAACCTTAGCACAGGGCTGGGAAGGTGGCTCAGTGGCAGAGCGCTTGCCTTGCATGCATGAGGCCCTGTGTTCGATTCCTCAGCGCCACATAAGAAAAAAGAAAAAAGCCGGAAGTGGCGCTGTGGCTCAAGTGGTAGAGCGCTAGCCTTGAACTGAAGAGCTGAGGGATAGTGCCCAGGCCCAGAGTTTAGGCCCCACAACCGAACCAAAAAAAAAAAAAACCACAAAAAAACCTTAGCACCACCCACAAACAGAATGGGAAGCACAGCACTCAGGACGCAGATGCAAGATGGTTGAGACTTCACGCTTGTGTGCACTACATGGCTACACAGCAACACCCTAAAACACAAAGGGCTGGAGGTGTAGATCAGTGGCAGAACACTTGCATGCATTAAAGCTCTGATTACTTCCTAGCACTACAAAAATAAAAATTCAATTTTTACAAAATAGGAAAACTTTTGTTAAAGGATACTTTTAAAATCAGTTTATAGACTCAGGGTTTGTTCTGTAGAAAAAGCAACTGCCGCCAGGCACTGGTGGCTCACAACTGTAACCTTAGCTACCTAGATGGCTGAGACCTGAGGATCATGGTTTGAAGCCAGCCCTGGCAAGAAAATCTGTGAGACTCTTATGTCCAGTTAACCACCAGAAAACCAGGAGGGGGAAGGGGAGGGAAGAGGAGAGAAAGAAGGAGGGACAGGGGGAGGAGGGGAGAGGAGAGGGAAGGGGGAGGGGGGAGTGGGAGGAGGGGAGTGAGGAGAAGGAAGAGGAGGGGGAGGAGGAGGAGGAGGAGGGAGAGGAGGTGGGGGGCACCTGCCAAATTATTCTGGAACTTAGATTTAGAACTTAATGTTCCAGACTATCTTTTCATGGGCCCCAAGTGAGCTCATGCAACACAGTCTCATGCAACAGAAGTCTGACCATGTACTCTCACAGAGTCACTCTTTAACTGCTCCCAGCAGAGCTGGCACCCATCACTGGTGAATGTATGTTGTTCCTAGACTTACTTCTTGGCCTCTTGCTGCAGCTCTTCTATTTGCTTCTTTAGTACTTCATTGGTCTCGGTAAGGGCAACCATCTGCTTTTTGTCAAACTGCAAAGACTTCAAAAGGGGGAAAGTATATGATAAGCCTAAAAGCCACTCATACAGACTTTTGCCTTTGATCAGAGGGAAGTTAAACTGGGAGAGTGCCTGCCTGGAGACCCTAGAACTGATAGCTGAAGGGCCTTATACTCTCTCCCTTCCTGGCCTTACTGTACAGTGATAAGAACCAAATCAGTCAGTGTCACCAAGTGCCTTGAACCTGCTTCAGCCCAGACCCTGATCTACCTGTCCTTTGATGCTTAGTCCCAATCCACATGCCTGCTTCACCACTACACCAGCCCTCGGGCAGCTACAGATTCTCGGGTCCCAGCATCAGGTGCCCTCCACCTACTGTCCTCACATGGACGCTGTTACCCTTGGGGCCTTAGCATCATGCCCAAGGAAGGGTCAGCAAGAGTTCCTCACAGGTTAGGGACCCATCAAGGTCACTTGTTTAACCTGACTTTCAGTTTGACCCTCTCTGATACTTCTACTGTGTCAGATAAAATGGAGCCCGATCTAGAATCTTCCCACTATTTCCCCAAATTAGTGTCCCTTCCCCAATTTCTCATCCTGGGAAACATTCCTCAGCTGAGATACCTGGCTAGGACTCTTGTAGACTCTTATCTCCGTACTCCTTTCATCCCTCACTTCTAGCTCTACAGACCACTATCCAGCCACCCTCACCCTCATCAGCTTCACTGCACTTAGGAGACAGTCAGGCTCGGGCTCATCGTAGCATAGCTACCCAGGTGTAAGAAAAATATTTTTTTCTATAAAAGTAGATGATTTTCTTATGAGAATTGTTTTTCTGAAAAGTTTCTGCTTTGGCCAGGTGGTTTGGCACTTGTTAATTACATTTAAGTTACAAACCTTTTCCTGATGCACTTTAATTAGGACATCCTGTTAAAAGCTCCATGAATTTTAGTCACATCCTGTTTATTAAGCCACATTCTTTTGCAGATTGTGAACCTGAGCTCAGCCAATATGAGCAGAGAGGCAGAGGCTGCTGGGCTAGGGATAAAAAGGGAGCAGCTTGCCTGCTCTGTGCTTGCTTGCCAGATTTTGGGCTGATGGTCCACCCTTCTGCCACGTTCCATTCAAGTTGGGGTTCTTATTCTTATGGAACACCCCAACACGCTGAGCCATTTCTAACACTAAGAACATGGCTAGCTCTGTGCCTTCCTCATCCCTGTTCCCTGCCTGGAGTCCAGGTCTCCATCCTGGCTTTCTGCCTGGCAATAGCCCATCATAAGGGTGGTACCTACAGCAACACCTCTACTACAGGTGGCACCATAGTCTGGACTTATCTGTTTGTCCTACTAAGAGTAGCTCCAGGGAGCCTTGTTCTACTGTTTCAAAAACAATCCCAGCTGGTGCCCATCCTGCCCCACCCTGCAGTGAGCCCAAGGCATACTCAAATGAACTTTCACTACTCAACAGAACCCACCCAGACTGTCCTGCTGACCTGCATCTGTGTCTCCATCTCGTCTCGCTCCTTCTGCACTGACAGAAGATGGTTCTCAAGATCTACCATTTGCTGGTGGACCAGGGACACCTCTTTTTGCAAGCGAGAGTGCTCCACTTCCATGGCTTTCTTTTCCCCATGCAGCTTGATTAGCTCCTGTCTCAGTTCCTTCATCTCAGAGTCTAGCTGCTTCTTTGTGGATTTGAGCTCGTTGATGAGCTGGTCTTTGGTGGTAGTATCCCGCCGGTAGGCCTCCACCATCACCTGTCACACAAAATGCAAGGTATAAGCCAGCATCCAAATGGGGCTTCCCCTAGGGAACAGGACAGCTTAAAAGAAAATGTTTAGCTAGGGGTATGACTCAAGTGGTAGTGTGTTTTCCTACAAAACACAAGGCCCTGAGTTAAAACCTTAGTACTACCAGGAAAATACAATTTAAAAAAAATGTTTATCAAAGCTAGAGGTGTAGCTCAAGTGACAGAGCATCTGCCTAGCAAGCCCAAATCCCTGAATTCAAAGCCCAGTACTGAAAAAAAAAAAGTTTACCATCTATTTAGGGCATAATTTTGTCTTTTTAGTGCTAGAGATTGAATCTAGGGCCTTGCACATGTTCTAGGCACATACCCTCAGCCCAAGAATCTTTTGTAAACAAAGGTAACACATTTTATCAAATCTGAGACACCATCCATTATATTTCTACTCTAGTAGACACAGCTTGTCTGAATGTCTCTGTTATACCACATGGCAATCTGCCACACCTTGGCAAATCTGGCAATTGCATGTAGTGTCATGTCAGTCTACTAGACACCTTATCTCTTCCAAGGACCTGGCAAGACCTTTCTTCAGTTGTGTTTGGCTTCTGGCTGGTAGTCAATCCTTTGTGTTTCTTTTTTCTTTTTCTTTTTTTGTCGGTCGTGAGGCTTGAACTGGGCCTGCGCGCTGTCCCTGCGCTCTTCAGCTCAAGGCGAGAGCTTGAGCCACAGCGCAACTTCCGGTTTTCTAGTGGTTTATTGGAGATAGAGTCTCACAAATATTCCTGCTTGGGCTGGCTTTGAACCTCAATCCTCAGATCTCAGCCTCCTGAGTAGCTAGGATTAGAGGCGTAAGCCATAGGCGCCCAGCCCTTGTGTTTCTATCTCAATTATACACAGAAATACAATTATAGCACTGCTGTGAGTGGTCTTCCTCTCTCAGAACCTGTAAGTCATTCAACTGGTACTATGCAAGGAAGTGCAGAATCAGAGGCATTCTTTCACCAGCAGACCTTAGCTTCACAATTCACCAGAATTCAAATCCTATGGCTTTTGGGCACAACATAATTTGTTTTAATATAGGTTCAGGGTACAAATTTCCGACACTTTATACAGCAAACACAACTGGTATACTAACAACAATGCACAATATACACAGCTCATGGAAGTCATAGTAAGAGGGTGTCATGACAGGTACCATCATTGCAAGTGCCACAGGCAACTTCTGGAGATTGTAGACCTCCAGACTTTCCTGCAAAAAGGCATGCTGACCTTAGACTGTGATGAGGGAAGGAAGGTATCTTAGATTAATGGAATGCCTTCAAGAAGGAAGACATGCACAGAAATGGAGGACAAAGGTGAACAAATGCAGCTGCGGTACTCACTAGACACTGTTAAAAATGAATTTTACAACCTGTGAGAACACAAGAAAAAACCTGGGAGAGAACGAGAAAAGGGGTGACATTGTCCAAAAAGAAATGTACGCCTAGCTGGGTACAAGTGGCTCACACCTATAATCCTAGCTACTCAGGAAGCTGAGATCTGAGGACTGTGGTTCAAAGCCAGCCTGAGGACAATAGTCCCCATGAGACTCTCATCTCCAATTAACCATTCAAATACCAGAAGTGGAGCTATGGTTCAAAATGGTAGAGCACTAGCCTTGAGCAAAAGAGATCAGGCACAGTGCCAAGGACCTCAAGACTGACAAAACAAAATGTACTCATTATTTCACTTATGTAATGGTAACCCCTGTGTACATTATCCTTATAATAAAAAAAGAGAAAAAAAATTTAAACGAAGACCTGAATGTGTCCTTCTACCTGACTGATTTTGTTCTACTGATGCAAAGGTGACTGTTAGAAGCTGTATCTGACAGTTTCAAACAAGAACAGCAGACCTCTCTTACCTTTTGCTGAAGAAACTGTTCCTTTACCTTCTGCATCTGCTTCTTCAGGGAGGCTGTCTCCTGCTCCAAATGTTCCACCTATGGGAGTTTCACAAAAAAGGTGCCTGAGGGCTCAAGGCCTGTACCCAGTGGCATTTCCTATGAGCCAGATCTAGTCAACTCACCAAAGAGAGACTGCAACCAGACCCAGGCTGATGGCCCAAGAATTACTTAGGGATACATTACTAGCATCCTCCCTCTTTGCCATGAAGACAGGTGCCAGTAGCTCATACCTGTAATTATTAGCTATTCAGGAGTCTGAGTTAGTCTGAAGATCATGGTTCAAAGCTAATTTGGGGGGCAGGGAAGGTACATCAGTGGTAGAGTGCTTGCCTAGCATGCATGAGGCCCTGGGTTCAATTCCTAGGTACCACGTAAGAAGAAAAAGCTGCAAGTGGCGCTTGTGGCTCAAGTGGTAGAGCACTAGCCTTGAGCTGAAGAGCTGAGGGACACCACCCAGGCCCAGAGTTCAAGCCCCACCAACAACAACAAAAAAAGAGAGGCTGGGAAGGTGGCTCAGTGGTAGAGTGCTTGCCTAGCATGCATGAGGCCCTGGGTTTGATTCCTCAGCACCACATAAGCAGAAAAAACTGGAAATCTTGCTGTGGCTCAATTGGTAGAGCATGAGCCTTGAGCTGAAGAGCTGAGGGATAGCGTCCAGGCACAGAGTTCAGGCCCCATGACAAAAGGAAGGAAGGAAGGAAGGAAGGAGGAAAGAAAGAAGGAAGGAAGGAAGGAAGGAAGGAAGGAAGGAAGGAGGAAAGAAAGAAGGAAGGAAGGAAGGAAGGAAAGGAAGAAAGAAAGAGATAGGGGAGGGAAGGGGAGGGGGGAGGGGAGGGGAGAGGGAGGGAGGGGCTGGGAAGGTGGCTCAGGGGTAGAGTGCTTGCCTAGCATGCATGAGGCCCTGGGTTCGATTCCTCAGCACCACATAAGCAGAAAAAGCTGCAAGTGGTGCTTGTGGCTCAAGTGATAGAGCACTAGCCTTGAGCTGAAGAGCTGAGGGACACCACCCAGGCCCAGAGTTCAAGCCCCACCAACAACAACAAAAAAAGAGGGGCTGGGAAGGTGGCTCAGTGGTAGAGTGCTTGCCTAGCATGCATGAGGCCCTGGGTTTGATTCCTCAGCACCACATAAGCAGAAAAAGCCAGAAGTAGTGCTGTGGCTCAAGTGGTAGAGAGAGCTGAAGAGCTGAGGGACAGCACCCAGGCCTAGAGTTCTGGCCCCACAACCAACAAAAGAAAAGAAAAGAAAAAAAAGTTCCTGGGGCTGGGAAGGTGGCTCAGTGGTAGAACCGCTTGCCTTGTATGCATGAGGCCATGGGTTCGATTCCTCAGCACCACATAAGCAAAAAGAAAAAAGTCGGAAGTGGTGCTGTGGCTCAAGAGCTAGAGTGCTAGCCTTGAGCTGAGGGACAGTGCCCAGGCCCAAAGTTCAGGCCCCATGACCGAACCAAGAAAGAAAGAAAGGAAGGAAGGAAGGAAGGAAAGAAGGAAGGAAGGAAGGAAGGGAGAGAGAGAGAGAAAGAAAGAGAGAGAGAAACAAAGAAGGAAAGAAAGAAGAGAGAGGGGGGAGGGAGGGAGGGGAAGGGAGGAAGGAAGGAAAGGAAAACCTTGCATCCTTACTACCCAAAGCCTGTCAGAGATCAGCCCACTACACCATTTGGATTTTTATAGGGTACACACTTTTAGCTATAGAGCAAGCTACTATGCCTACGGAATGATTTGTGCATGTGAAATGCTATTTTGACACAGTAAAAAGGCATTTCCTGCCCCCTGATTCTGAGGATTGAACTCAGGTACAGGTTAGGCAAAAGCACTAGCTGAGACACACTCTGAGCCCCAACAAAAAATGCTTTTGAGAATGGGCCACAAGGTCTTAACTCCTAGAATCCTAGCTACTCAGGAGGATGAGACCTAGAAGATCACAGTTTGAAACCAGCCCAGGCAGAAAAGTCGATGAGAGTAGTCCTTAAGACTCCGTTACCAATTATCCAGCAAAAAGCTGGGCTGAAGGTGTGTCAAGTGGTATACCAGGAGCCATGAGCAGACAAGCCTCAACCCCCCCTCCGCCCAACAAAAGCCATGTGACACAAATGCCCTTGTGGCACAGGACCATACTACATGACACCCAGACCTGCTGTCATGCGACAGGGCCCAGAGGCACCAGTGGAACATGTTCACTACATGGTAGCTGTCATCTGTAGTTGTCTGGGATGTACAGTGGTCAGAGTGCTGTCTAGAGTCAGTGTCAGAAATGGGAAGAACTTATTCAAGGGTCAAAGCTTTCTATGTTTAAATGATTCCTAAGACCAAAGCATATTCCTTACAAACCCCAGTGATAACTTGAGCTGTTAAGAAATGATTGAGCCATTTTCCTACAATATGGAAAATGCTTCCTAAATAATCCAGATAAAGATCAAAACGCTGTTTGTTCCAGACAAGTCCTTCATCCCCTTTAACTACTTTGTCACCTGCCCCTATCTTCAAAGGAGTTCCACAGAAAGAACAACAGGATGAACTAGGCAAGGGGAAGGCAAGGTCAGCAAACTTTAGGCCCCTAATTGGACAGCACTGTCTCGGAGATGCATGAGGGCACACACACACATGGCCAGTACACTTCTACATGCCAGTCTGAGAGGCATTTCTATTCTCCCATTAGGCTGCTTCTGACCCTCCACGGCAGGAATCAGAGTACAGAGGTAAGAACGCAGTTTCATAGTGTGATAGGAACACAATCCCACTGTGCTCTACCTTCTTACAGAGAAATAATCACAATCCAAGGGCTTGTACAAGTAGCTTTCTTTGGAAAAAAAAAAAAAACCACAGTAAAATCCGAGCATTGTCCTTCTAACCAACCTAACAGGCAATAAAGAGCTCTAACAGAGCCAGGTGCTAGTGGCTCACACTTGTAAGCCTAGCTGCAAAGGAGACAAGTATGAGGATTGACATTCAAAGCCAGTCAGGGAAGGGAATGTCCACAAGACTGTTATCAACATAGGCAGATAGCACGTGGGCAGCCAATAGTGTCTGTCTTGTAATATACCAAATGATTTCACAGGCCTTACACCATAGGCTAGAAATTCCCCACACCCATATGTACCATTATTGTATTCCCGGAGGGGAAACAACCAGCAATCACTCTAATCCTTGGTCTTTTTTTGTGGGGGTGGGCACGGAGGGGTCAGTCATTGGACCTGAACTGTAGGCCTGGGTGCTATCTCTCAGCTCTTCAGCTCAAGACTAGCATTCTACCACTTGAGCCATAGCACCACTTGCGGAGATAAGAGTTTCATGGACTTTCCTGCCTCGGCTGGCTTTGAATTGCAATCCTCAGATCTCAGCCCCCTGAGTAGCTAGGATTATAGACATGAGCCACTGTACCTGGCTAACCCTTGGTCTTTATAAACTAAAGTTTAAAGACATAATCATTCCTTGATATTGACTGCACCTCTGGAACACCCTTTTTACATGTCTGCCTACATCTGACATGTGCTATTATTATAAGCACATTGGCACTCCCCAAGTATGGTAGAATGCTGAGCTATGCTCTTATATACCAGGATCCTGTGTGTCCACAGGGCAGGCCCACACTGGACCTAGTGTTGGCCACTTGTCCCATTCTGTGCACTGTCTCATAATCTCTACAGGTAGAGGGAAAGGAAATCAAGTTTCCTGCAGCAATTTAAGCTGGGAAAGACATCTTGAGGAATATTTTCAAAAGACCAAACAAAACTCAGTTTCAGCCAGGCGCTGGTGGCTCATGCCTGTAATTCTAGCTACTCAGGAGGCTGAGATCTGAGGATCACGGTTCAAAGCCAGCCCGGGCAGGAGAGACCGTGAGACTCCTATCTCCAATAAACCACCAGAAAAGCGGAAGTGGCACTGTAGCTCAAGTGGTAGAGCACTCGCCTTGAGCTGAAGAGCTGAGGGACAGCGCCCAGGCCCAGAGTTCAAGCCACACGACCGACAAAAAAAAAAAAACAACTCAGTTTCATGGGTTGGGAATTTGGCTTAGTGGTAGAGTGCTTGCCTAGTTGCATGAAGCCCTGGGTTTGATTCCTCAGTACCACGAACACAGAAAAAGCCAAAGTAGCGCTGTGACTCAAGTGGTAGAGTGCTACTTGGGGGCAATGCCAAGGCCCTGAGTTCAAGCCCCAGGACTGGGAAAGAAAAAATAAAAACAAAAACTCTCACTTTCAGGTCCAGGACACAGTGTAGGCTGTTGGGATCACTGCCTTAGTGCATTTTCCCTTGGTTTAATCACACTTCTAAAAAGGAAATCAAATGACCAGCATCTATTTACAACCTAACATCACACTACTTTACCTGGCTGGACTTGATGGCCAACTCTTGTTTCAATTGCTCTAAAAGACTTGAAGTCTCCTCGGTGTCTTCTTCTAAGCGCCTTGTTCCTCTGTCAAGTTCATCCTTGTCACTCTTGGCTGCCTGCAGAGCCACCTCCAAGACAATCTTCTCATTCTGCAGGAAGCGAATTGTGTCCTCCCTAGAAGCAGCCTCTCCCTGCAGCTCCTCTAGCCTCGCCTGCAACTCATCGTAGTGTGTCTGCAGCTCATCGAGGGACTGCCCCTTGGCCTGCAGAGCCTCCTGTGTTGAGGCGAGCTGCTTTATCAGATCCAGGTGTTCCTTCTGCACTGCATCAAGTTGTTCATCTCGCTGGTGCAGCGTCAACTTCACCTGGAAACAGATGATAAACTCAACTGGTTGCCTTCAACTTGGCCGCAAGAATCAACTTTTTCCCTGTCCAGGATTAATTCTTTTAAGGAGACAGTAATGGGGTTTAAGCTCAGGGCTTCGTTCTTACTAAGCAGAAACTCTACCACTTGAGCTGTGCTCCAAGCCTGATTTAAACAATTGTGGGGGACTTCTCAGAGCATCTTTCCTAGTACAGAACAAGAACAGAAGTGTAAATCCATACCTGGGCTGATATGGCAGCAGCCTGATCCCTCAAACACACTCCAACGTGCTTCAACACAAATGTGCACTTCTGATATGCCTTGACATACTGCTATGCAGGCCATCTGTGTGCAGACCTGGGGAAGCCTCTGTGAGTATGGTTTCCAGAGTGGCTGCAGCTACTTACTTGTTCCAAATGCTGCTCCAGAGATGCTGCCGAGTCTGCCAACTTCTGTAGCTGTTCCCGCTCCCCTTCAAACTCTTCCAGCCTTCTCTGGAGGTCTTCTTCGACCATTGTCTTTGCCTCCCGAATCTGCACAAAAGCTGCTTCCTGATCCAACATGTCAGCCTGCGCCCAGAAAATAACATTTTTTAAAAAGAAAAAAAAATATCAAATGTTTATATTTTATGTCCTTCTGTACATGCTTATGTACATAAAGGCATATTTATATTTAGTTGTTTGCATATACTTATGAACATGTATATAGCAGGACCCAAAGCTAGATAAAAATGAGCACTGACTGCCACAGTCCTCACCTCAATGCTCTGGAGCTGGACAGCTATGCGCTCCTTCTCCTTTATGGATCTGTGCTGTGTTTCTGTCAGTTGATGGGACAGGGACACGTTTTCAAGCTTCAGGTGCTCCAGCAGGCCAGCCTGGGTCATCTGTCCAACCTTCAAAGACAGACCCAGGAGATAAAAAGCTGCTTGACATTAGACATCAAGTTCAGACCAGCCTATCCTTAGATACCTGGGTAAGGGACTCTGCCTCAGACAACTGCCAGCCGTCCCTCTCCTGTCTTCCACAGCAGGGACAGTCCCTGACTTCCTTATTGTCACACTGGACTTAGCATATAGGCCTCACTGCCACTACAAGACAGACCTCCTCGAACTTGGGAATACCTAAGAAGTGAAGGCTGGGTACCCAGAAGTCAGGTCATCACACCCAAGATCATGCATTTTGGTTAGAACCTATACAGAATTCCTATCAAAGGTGTACGTCTTGTTTTTTGGTCCAGTGTGAGCCTTGAACTCTGGGCCTGATGTCCCTCAGCTCTTCAGCTTAGGCAAGCGCTCTACCACTTCAGCCACAGCACCACTTCTGGTTTTCTGGTGGTTTATTGGAGGTAAGAGTCTCACGGACTTTCCTGCCTGGCTGGCTTTGAACCGAGACCTCAGATCTCAGCCTCCTCATTAGTGAGGATTACAGGCCTGAGCCACCAGTGCCCAGCTTCACAGGTGTACTTCTAAGCCAGGCACCAGGAGCTCACGTCTGTCAGCTCAGCTCCTGAGGAGGCTGGAAAGTCCATGAGACTCTGTTCTCCAATTAACCACCAAAACCTTGGAAGTGATGCTGTGGCTCAAAATGGTAGAGCACTATCCTTGAGCAAAATTAGCTCAGGGACAGCCCCCAGGCCCTGAGTTCAAGCCCCACAACTGGAGGGGGCAAAAAAAAAAAAAAAAGGCATATTTCTGAACCTCCCAGAGGAGGAGCCCTATCTAAAGGTGTTCTTTAACATAACAAGTCAGGTACTGAGCTTTGGCACAAAGTGATTTCAAGCCTACTCCTTCTTCCAAAAGCACATAAGTCTAAGAGGCTGCCAATAGGCAAGGCAGAGGTGAAGTACACACACCAAAGGGTACATACACCAACATGCCAGGTTTGCACACAGCTGGCCTGCATAGCGACGTGTCAAGCCATATCAGAAGTGCATATTTGTGTTGGAGTGTGTTTGAAAGATCAGCCCAGCCATGCTAATGTTCATGTTCTGAACTAGGAAACAGGATTGCGTCCACTAGAAAAATTAACCGGAAAGAGGAAAACTCAGGACCTGGAAAGGAGCTCACAGGGGAAAATGTGGTGACTACACAGTCCTGAGACTAAGCAGCTGGAGCAAGGTAAAGCTGTAGGGAAGAGAATGCCTGCCATACTCTAACCCATCAAAGAACTGGGAGAGGATTCAGAGGCAAGTAAGAAGGCCCCCAAAGCCCAACAGATATGAACTTGAAGGCTAGGGTTAAACAATGAGTTACCGTGTGGACAAGGGACAGGACTAACTAGCAGAGACAGGGACATGAGACAGTCCAGAGCAAGGTATCTCAATGTTCTGCTTTATTTTGTTTTGGTAATTTAGAGTTTGAACTCAGGGCTTCACTCCTGCTAAGTAGGCACTCTATAACTTGAGTCACACCATTAACAAGAACATGTCAAAATAAAACACCGAAGCAGAATCTAGAAGGCTTCTGTGTCAGGTCATGTGGAGACTTCTATACAAGATGATATGGACTATACTGATGCTTGGTGGACATTAAAGGGAAACATATCTGTGATGTGTAAAACCAGAAACGCCTGTACATGCCGTCTCCCTGAATGGAGTCCCCGGCCATACCTGGATGTGAGCTACTTCGCCCTGAAGCCTGACCCGAGCCTCCTGGGCCAGGGCAAGCTGTTGCTGATACCACTGCCGAGCATGGTGCAGAGATGCAATTTCAGCCTGTGATGCCTGAAGCTTGCTGGTCAGTGTCGTGCGCTCCAGCTGCACTTGCTGGAGTTGGCTCTGCAGGGCTGCCATCTGCTGCCGAAGGTCGTGCACTGAAAGTGAGCAAGCACAGCCAGCTCAGACTAAACAGCACCAACAGGAGAGCCACAGCTCTGTGTGGACATCTGACCCAAAGTCAGGTTCTGCAGAGAGTAAGAAGTACAGTTGATGCTGGCTATCTACAGTGGTCATGTTCTAAAAGTTACCACAAACCTGGCAGTGACAGACATGGAGATACATGTGTAGGTACTGGAAGCCCCTAAACAAATCCTCTCCAACAACGGATCAACACATGACCTTCATTTATGTGTTCTTCTATTTAAAGATATCTTACTTAAAATGTAATTTATTAACATGAGCTCAGTCAGAAGCTATGTAAGCTAGCTACAGTGCCAGAATAGTTTCTGTAACAAATCTATTTTTCAACAAACAGCTCACAGTCTACTCACACTTCAGGACAAAGTGTCTAGGGTCACTAAACAGCAAAATCATGCCTAAAATAGCACAAAAACTTAAGTGTGGCACTAAAGAGACAACAGTCTGAGCTGAAGATAGGATCTGAGGGCAAGCAAGAATGTTTCCTTACACTACCTTAGCTGGGAGTTTGTGCATTGAGCAACTTAAATTTCTAGCCACCCTGCAGATATCCAAGAATAGCCATGAAAAATGCTATGACTACTGACATAGGGGTTACAAATAAAATTTAAGTGAGTAGTCAAATGCAGCTGCGGATCTGTGAGGATCAAGTACAAACGATGTGTTCAAAAGATTTGTATGGACACATCCTCTAACAATGTTTATCAGACATAAATAAACTCAGCAAGGGCACAGCATGGCTGATTCTGTACTAGCTTACCACATGGTCAGTCTTAGTATGAGTAGGGCAGGATGGAAGGAGTGTAAGACAGCAAGATAGGAAGTTATTGACAACCCAAATCAGAATACAAATAAGTCAGACGCATTTTAATTTAAAACTACAGTCCCTAGATTTAAGTATGTATTCTTTCTGAGGACATTTTCTAATTTTCTCCTTTTTCTTCCTCTGTGATATAGCAGATGTTTAAACTCAGGGTCTTGTGCATTATGCATGCTAAACAAGCAATCTATTATTTAACTACACACTCATTCACCCTGGCTAGCCTACAACTTGCAATCCTCCTGCCTCCTGAGTAGCTTAAATTACCACATTCTCAGCCTACTTCTAAGCTTCTTTTTTGTCAGTCGTGGGTCTTGAACTCTAGGCCTGAGTGCTGTCCCTCAGCTCTTCAGCTCAAGACGAGCACTCTACCACTTGAGTGACAGCGCCACTTCCGGTTTTATGGTGGTTTACTGGGGATAAGAGTCTCACACACTTTCCTGCCCGGGCTGATTCTGAACCTCGAACCTCAGATCTCAGCCTTCTGAGTAGCTAGAATTACAGGCGTGAGCCACCGGCGCCTGGCTACTTCTAGCTTTTTGGTTAACTGGACATAACCATCTCACAGACTTTTGTCTTAGCCAGCTTGAACCATGATCCTCAGATCTCAGTCTCCTGAGTAGCTAGGATTACAGGCACAACCATCCAGCTCAAAAGTTTTAAAGGAAAAAAACATGAGTAGTATAGTTTAAGAAGGTTCATGCTGAGAACCATTGGCTCATGCCTGTAATCCTAGCTACTCAGGAGTCTGAGATCTGAGGATAGCAGTTTGAAGCTAGCCTAGGTAGGTAGGTAGGAAAAGTCTGTGAGATTCCTATCGCCAATAAACTACTCAGAAAAAGCCGAAAGTGGTGCTGTGGCTCAAGCACTAGCCTTGAGCAAAAAGAAGCTTAGGGACAGTGCTCAGGCCCTGAGTTCAACCACAGTATCAATACAAAGGGGTGAGGGGGGAGAATGTTCATGACTCTGACTGTAGTACTTCAAAGCCTAGAGTGGTTATATCTCAAAAAGATGAGAGGGGTTCCTGAACCCTTCTGTACTCACATCACACAGTCAGACAGGTACAGAGACTATAACTAAGCAGTGCACCGTAAGTTGGGTCAGTGCTGCTGCCTGAAAACCATTGTCTACTGAGCGCTTGGAACCCTTAGAGATATAAAGCTATCTTGGAGTTCAGAAACCTTTGAATTTTAATTTCCCTAAGGCACTGGGTATCATAAAATGCTTCAAGTCTGAGAACCTAATAAAGAAATAATATTTTATTCCAGAGGGCTCATTCTGTTTTGGTCTTCTCTAGGTGACGAGATCTGAAGCATAGCCTCATAGCCCCAACTGAAATGAAAGGACATGCAGATGGGGACTGGTTCCAGTGGAGACTGAAGGCAGAAGGTCTCTGTGCATAGCCAGCTGTCCCAATCCCCTGCTATTCTGATGTTGCTCTTAAATACATTAGACAGAATCTGAAATAAGCAGGCATCTCTACTCCCCTAAGTAACACTGGACTCGAGGCAGAATGAATGAAAATAATGGCTAACTATACTAAGCCAATTCTTAAGACCCTGGTATACCCTCTGACACATTCACACAAAAATGTACAGAAGCTGGGCACTGGTGGCTAAATGTCTGTAATCCTAGCTACACAGGAGGCTGAGATCTGAGGATCACGGTTCAAAGCCAGTCTGGGCAGGAAGACCCATGAGACTCTTATCTCCAATTAGCCATCAGAAAACTGGAAGCGATGATGTGGCTCAAAAAATGTACAGAAACTGGCTGCTGGTGGCTCATGCCTGTAATCTTAGCTACTCAGGATGCTGAGATCTGAGGATCATGGTTTAAAGCCAGCATGGGCAGGAAAGTCCATGAGACTCTTATCTCCAATTAAACACCAGAAAACAGGAAATGGTGCTGTGGCTCAAGTGGTAGAGCACTAGCCTTGAGATGAAGAGCTCAGGGACAGCGCCCAGGCCCAGAGTTTAAGCCCTATGACCCCCCCACCCCACCAAAAAAAGTACATAAGTCCATGATGTCAATAAAAACTTGCATTTACTTTAGCAAAGCAGACATGCTAGGTGGAAACTATATGCTGACATGATACTGTGGCCTCATCTGTATGACAGAACCAGTACGTCAGGTTCCAGAAGGGGATCTCAGGGCTAGGGCCTCACCTGTGTTGTCCTTGCTAAGGATATTTCTCTGCATGTCCTCCACTTTGGCCATCAGTCTCTGGTACTGTTCCTCTGCCACCTGCAAGTCGTTGTTTGAGGATGCCAGGCTGGCATTTTTGGCTTCCAGCATATTCTGGAGGTCGGTCATGGCCTGCTCCAGATCCCAACAAGACTGTTTTAAAGTGTCCACTTCAGAACTGAGAGAATCTTGTTTTTGCTGGCTGCTGTGGCTGTGTTCCACCTGTGCCTGCAGCCGTGTGCTCAGGGCAGCAAGCTGGGCCTGCAGCTCAGCCTTCTCTTTAAGTGCCTGAAAATACCCCAAACAAAACAGTGACTTCTTTCAGAATAAGAGCTCCAACATATGAACAAGACTGCAGAAACAAGCCAGGTGCTGGTGGTTCACACATGAAATCCTAGCTACTAAGGAGGCTGAGATCTGAGGATCACGGTTCAAAGCCAGCCCAGGCAGGAAAGTCTATGAGACATCTTCAATAAACCACTAGAAAACCGGAAGTGGTGCTGTGGCTCAAGTGGTAGAGCACTTGCCTTGAGCTGAAGAAAGCAGGGACAGCACTCAAGCCCAGAGTTCAAGCCCCACAACCAACAAAAAAAAAGAAAAGAAAAGAAAAAGAATTTGATAGGGGCTGGGAAGGTGGCTCAGTGGTAGAGAGCTTGCCTTGCATGCATGAGGCTCTGGGTTCAATTCCTCAGCACCACATAAACAGAAAAAGCCGGAAGTGGCTCAAGTGGTAGAGCCCTATCCTGAGTTGAAGAGCTGAGGGACAATGCCCAGGCCCAGAGTTCAGGCCCACGACCAAAAAAAAAAAAGACAGTTGCCCCTCAAAGAAAGTAATTTTCCCTTCTGTACAGTATGTTCACAAAAAATTAAAATTAAGAAAGTAATTTTTCAAGAGGTCAGAGACATGAGTATAGTCCATGCTAGCAATGTAACTACATTGAAGAAAACAGAAGTCAATATTCACTGTCAAGAGGATTAGAAAACCACTGGTTTGTACATGCTTACATGTACACACACATATGTACTGTAAACAATCTAGGTATGTTAAGGGATCCCTAAGAGAGAAAAAGTAGCTAGACTTATCTTTTGAGGAAAATGAGCAAAAAACATCTTCAGGGAACTGCTGAAGCTGTAAGTGAAATTTCCATGAGATTGAGCCACAGACACAAGATACAGGATTGGCCCTGTGTGACCATAACAGCTCTTCCCAGGAAGAGCTAGGAGCAGTAATGACCAGCCAAAACAAGAAGACAGTGAGGGCTAGAGTTTAGCTCTGTGCTAGAGCACCTATACAGCTGCAGAAGGCCTCTAGGTTCAAATCCCAACCACAATGAAAAGAAAAAAATGTGAGTGAAAGGCAAAGCAAGTCCTATTCACCCACCAGCGAATTCTGCTAAACCAGATCTATCTAGAAGTACCTGTGGGAGTCCTAAACTCACACACTGGAGAAAACTGGGAAGACAACAAATTCAACAAACAGAACAAATAGCTAATATGATCAAGTTAACTGGGTAAATTCTACAGAAATGTATTAGTATCCAGAAAGAGAGATGACAGAAGGAAAGTAGTTATGACAATCTAGATCTTGGCTTGACATGACTCAAATCCAAACAAGGAAGAAGACAAAAAAAGCTAAGCCAGGCGCTGGTGGCTTATGCCTGTAATCCTAGCTACTCAGGAGACTGAGATCTGGGGATCATGGTTCAAAGCCAGCCCAGGCAGGAAAATCCGTCAGACTCTTATCTCCAATAAACCACTCAAAAACCGTAAGTGGCGCTGTGGCTCAAGCGCTAGAGCCCTCTCCTTGAGCTGAAGAGCTGAGGGACCGTGCCCAGGCCCAGAGTTCAAGCCCAAGGACCGACAAAAAAAATAAAAATTAAAATAAAAATTAAAAATGAATAAAATAAAATGAAGGCATCTGTAAAGCTTTCTATCTAGCAAAAAGGAACCATAAGGGGCTGGGAAGGTGGCTCAGTGGTAGAGCGCTTGTCTTGCATGCCTGAGGCCCTGGGTTCAATTCCTCAGCACCACATAAGCAAAAAGAAAAAAGCAGGAAGTGGCACTGTGGCTCAAGTGGTAGAGCGCTATCCCTGGGCTGAAGAGCTAAGGGACAGCGCCCAGGCCCAGAGTTCAGGCCCCACGACCGGACTCAAAAAATTAAAAAAAAAAAAAAAGAACCATACATTCTTTCCAAAGATTTGGCTCATCAAATATCTCTTACCTGACTAGCTTCCAATGACAAAGCCTCCAGTTGTCCTTCAAGTCTCATTTTTTCTTTAAGAACCTGCAGCATTTCATCTTGTGTTTCAGCAAGAGAACTTTCCACAGACACACTGAGAGACAGGAAACAGGGTCACGAGGAAGCCCTTCAGTCTCCAAATTCTATATACCATTGCCACTCCCCATCCTGTGTGTGTGCGTGTGTGCAAATAGTTATAATTTATCCATCTATCTATCCATCCTTCCATCCATCCATCCATCCATCCATCCATCCATCCATCCATCCTGGGGCTTGAACTCAAGGCCTGGGTACTGTCCTGAGCTGCTTTTTTGCCCAAGATTAGTACTTTACCATTTGAGCCAAAGCTCCACTTTCAGCTTTTTCTGATTAATTGGAGATAAATCTCATGGACTTTCCTGCTTGGACTGGATTTGAACTATGATTCTCAGATCTCAGCTCCTAAGTAGCTAGGATTACAGGTGTGAACCACCAGCACCCAGCTCCTTCTCATGTGTATATATATATATATATATATATATATATATATATATATATATATATATATATACACATACGTATATATATATATATATATTTTTTTTTTTTTTTGCCAGTCATGGTGCCTGAACTCTGGGCCTGGGTACTGTCCCTCAGCTCTTCAGCTTAAGGCTAGTGCTCTACCACTTGAGCCACAGCACCACTTCCAGCCTTTTCTGCTTATGTGGTGCTGAGGAATCGAACCCAGGGCCTCATGCATGCAAGGCAAGCAGTCTACTACTGAGCCACCTTCCCAGCCCCCTTCTCATATATTTTAAATAAATAAGTAAAAAGACTTAAGTAATAAGCTAAAGCTTAGCCCATGTGGCTTTCTACAGCAGGCCTCTGAAGGTATCATATTACAGCTTGCTTGGGAAGTCTACATCCCTATAAGTGTTTGTGTGGTATTAGAGCTAGGTCTGTGTAAATATGGAAAGACAGGATGTTTTAATATCAAACACAATTGCTGATCAGAGCTGACTCTACTTTCTTATAAGAAACAGAGCTGTGTGAAATGCTAAGATCAAGACTAGAAAGGCATCAGGAAAGATACAATGTTCTTTGAGACATGTGGCAGTGGTCCAGAGTGCAGTGTCAAAGGCCAGGCCACTGCCTTACCTGCTACAGATGCTGTCTCTGCGGCTCCGTACCTCCCCATTGACTTCTAACACCTGGTCTTGGTGCTCAGCTGCTGCAGCCTGCAGTACATCCTTAATTGAAGGGAACTGGCCCAGGGCCAATTCCTGGCCATTGACCACACAGGGAGCTCCCTGTGTGCTCATGTTCACCGAGACACCACAGGCTCCAAGGGTGGAGAGGCTGCTGTGCGAGGAGCTGTCACTCTCATTTCCATCAGCCTCAATTACAGTGTCCCCAGTCAGCAAGGTGCTCTCTAGACGATCACTAGCCTCAGGAGATGGGCTGACCTCAGATATGACTGAGGTACTGCTTCTGCTTTGCTTCAGTGCGCCCCCAACAGAGGTGGCAGCAGAGCCAAGGCCACCAGAGTCACTTGAATCTTCAGTTCTATAATCTGCCAGAGACCGAATTTTGTTTGACTTGGAACTCTTCTTATCCTTAGGGTGTGCCAGCAGCCCTAAGCTGCCCACCTTAGGCCCCCGAGGGACACTAGTACGCAGAAAAGAGTACTCTTTTGTCATAGCCACAGTACTGGCCCTTGGCAAGGTTTCTGGATTTAACATGAGCTCAGGATCAAGTGTGCTAAAAAGTCTCATTTTTGATGAAGGTTGACTAGACTGAAAAGAAAAGAACCAAAAGATAATTAGAAAACAACACTCCAAGATCTTCACCCAGAGCAGGGTGCCAATGGCTCACACCTGTCCAAGCTACTAAGGAGGCTGAGATCTGAGGGTTGCAGTTCAAAGCTAGCCCTGGCAGGAACATCTGTGAGACTCTTACATCCAACTAACCATCAGAAAACCAGAAGTGGAGCTGTGGCTCAAGTGGTAGTGTGCCTGCCTTGAGCTAAACAGCTCAGAGACAGCACCCAGGCCCAGAGTTCAAGTGCCATGACTGACCAAAAAAAAAAAAAAAATCACCCAGAAAGTATACAGCAATTAACATTCTTTCTTTTTCTTTTTGCTGGTTGTGGGGCTTGAATTCAAGGCCTGGGTGTTGTCCCTGAGCTTTTTAGTCAAGGTTTGCACTTTACTTGCACTTTGAGCCACAGCTCCACTTCTGGTTTTCTGATGGTTAATTAGAGACAAGAGTGTCACAGACTTTCCTACACAGACTGGTTTTGAACCATGATTCTCTGATCTCAGCCTCCTGAGTAGCTAGGATTACAGGCAGGAGCCACCAATGCCTGGCATAACCTTCTTTAATTGGGGGATAAAAAAACAACAACCCTCAGTTCTGTTATCTACAAAAGTCATTCTATTATCCCAGAGCAGGGCATACAAGAGAGGATGAGAAGAAAAAAATCACAAACAGTGAAATGCAGCTGGACCTATCAACAGCAAGGATAACTAGAAAACAACAGAAAAAGTGAGAGTGAACAAGAATATCATGCCACAGGAACTAGATTCATTCAGACCTCACACAGGAGCAGACAAACCAAGGAGATAGGATGCAGCCCAGACATCAGCTCAAGAAGAGACTTACCCTCTCCTGATGACGCTTCACTCGGTACTGCCTGAGCTGCTCTTCCAGCCGCTTTCTGGCCTGAAGTCGGACCATGTCCTCCTTTTCCAGGGACAGGGAAGAGGCTGTGGAACCTGTAGGAAAATGGCCACAGAGAAACTCATAATGGAGGACATAGAGAACAAACTGGTAATGACAGCTTCGTTTGGTTGAATTTAATGACCAGTACATTTTAGTTCCTACACAATATGTAGCCACAGAGTTACAGGACAATTTCCAGATCAAGAGAAAACTGTAAGCCTTGGCCACAAACTACCGACAGGATCTACCTTGTAAGAGACACACTTGTTATGTAATAAGCCTGTCTGTACTGTAAGTACAAAACCCACAAAGGGGGGCTGGGAAGGTGGCTCAGTGGTAGAGCACTTGCCTTGCATGTTCAAGGCCCTGTGTTCGATTCCTCAGCACCACATAAGAAAAAAGCCGGAAGTGGCGCTGTGGCTCAAGTGGTAGCGTGCTAGCCTTAAGCTGAAGAGCTGAGGGACAGTGCCCAGGCCCAGAGTTCAGGCCCCACGACCGGACCCCAAAAAAAAAAACCCACAAAGGATTTTCAGCTGGTAAGATAGGAGACAGATGATAAAATACATTTTAGTATAAAAAGAATTTGGAGGGAGGAAGGAGAGAGTGGGGGGGGGAAGGATGGGAAGGGGAAACAAAGGAGGAGGCAATAATGCTCGATAAGAAATGTACTCATTACCTTGCCCATGTAATTTTTTTTTTTTTTTGGTCGGTCGTGGGGCTTGAACTCTGGGCCTGGGTGCTGTCCTTCAGCTCTTCAGCTCAAGGCGAGCACTCTACCAATTGAGCTACAGCGCCACTTCCGGTTTTCTGGTGGTTTGGTCTCTCCTGCCCGGGCTGGCTTTGAACCGTGATCCTCAGATCTCAGCCTCCTGAGTAGCTAGGATTACAAGCGTGAGCCACCAGCGCCCGGCTTGCCCATGTAATTTTAACCCCTCTGTACAGTATTTTTACAATTAAAAAAAAAGAATTTAAAATTGGTGCCAGAGCTGAGTACTCAAAGGCTAAGACCCTCAAATCTCATAAGCTGAGACTCTTTTCTGGATCTATATAAGTTGCTCAAATTTCTCTGAGTGATTATGAAAAAATGACACAATCTCAATGATATGGCACTCAATGATGACCCAGGAAAAGGGTCACCATATTAACAATGATGCTATCCATTCCTACAGTACCAGGTATGTTACAACTTCTGTAAAATCAAGAATGTTTAAGCTGGGGCTGGAAAGGTGGTTCAGTGGTAGAGCGCTTGCCTTGCATGCATGAGGCCCTGGGTTCAATTCCCCAGCACCACATAAGCAAAATGAAAAAAGCCAGAAGTGGCGCTGTGGCTCAAGTGGTAGAGCGCTAGCCTTGAGCTGAAAAGCTGAGGGACAGTGCCCAGGCCCAGAGTTCAGGCCCCACGACTGACTAAAAAAAAAAAAAAAGCAGTAATTTAACAACTTTTTTTTTTTAATGTCAGTCGTGGAGCTTGACTTCTGGGCCTTGGTACTGTCCCTCAGCTCTTCAGCTCAAGGCTAGCGCTCTATCATTTGAGCCACAGCGCCACTTCCAGTTTTTTTGGTGGTTAACTGGAGTTAAGGGTCTCAAGGGCCTGTAATTCTAGCTACTCAGGAGGCTGAGATCTAAGGATCACAGTTCAAAGCCAGCCCAGACAGGAAAGGCTATGAGACTCTTATCTCCAATTAACCAACAGAAAACTGGAAGTGGTGCTGTGGCTCAAGTGGTAGAGCGCTTGCCTTGAGCTGAGGGACAGTCCTCAGGCCCAGAGTTTAAGCCCCATGACCAAAAAAAAAAAGACCAAAAATCCGGGTAAGTTTATAAAAGCCTGAGAAGAATCACTTATCTAGAAGGCAAGAATGAGGCTACAAAGGTAGATAAGGGTATATAATCTCACTGTGTAATATACATATATATGTCTACCATAAAAAATAAGGTTCTGGAAATAGATTTGAGGTGTTTTGAGCTCACAGACTGCCAGTGTGGAACTTGCTCTATCTTTGTACCCTCAATGATCAACACAAAATAAATGCTGATTAAAATATTCATAAACCAGGAAATAGAAACATGAGTTTTTTTGGTAATGTTGCTTTTTGTTTTAGGGGGTCCTTTTTTTGTTGTTTGTTTAGTTTTGTTTCTTTTTTTGCTGCCTTTTGAGGAAATAAAGGGAAGCTCAGAAATGGAGGGGACAAGGATGAACAAATTCAGTCATGGTACTCAGTAGACACTATGTGGAAAATGAACTATGCAACTTGTGGGCAGGGATGAAAGAGGTAAACTGGAGGAAAGAGAAGGAAGAGGTGATACTCATTACCTGACATAAAACAGTAACCCTTTCGTATACATTAATACTAACATTATGAAATAAAAATAGAAAAATAAAATAGAAAGAACATGCATAAAGAACACTTTCGTAAAGTGCTAGCCTTGAGCTGAAGAGCTGAGGGACAGAGTGCAGGCCCAGAGTTCAGGCCCCATGACCGGACCCAAAAAAAAACCACCAAAAAAAAACCCCAGAAACAAAACAAATTTAGAGTATATTTACGCCGGGCGCTGGTGGCTCACACCTGTAATGCTAGCTACTCAGGAGGCTGAAATCTGAGGATCGCGGTTCAAAGCCAGCCTGGGCAGGAAAGACCGTGAGACCCCTATCTCCAATAAACTACCAGAAAACCGTAAGTGGCGCTGTAGCTCAAATGGTAGAGCGCTCGCCTTGAGCTGAAGAGCTGAGGGACAGCGCCCAGGCCCAGAGTTCAAGCCCCACGACTGACCAAAAATAAAAAATAAAAAAAAAAGAAAGCTACCTTATTAAACATAATATCCACCCTTCCCTCCCCACCCCAGGAACAGGCTGGCAGGCAGTTCTGACTGCTCCGAAGGGAGCAGTGAGGCACTGACTGCTGGATGCTTAGAGGAGGGGTTGACAAGAACTGGGTGGGAACAGATGCTTACACAGTTGCGTTTCTTGCATGGGAAGACTGAGCCTGAGAGACTCCAAAGCTTCTTTTCTAACACTGCCCTCAGCACTAGTTCCCTGAGACTTCCTTAGGTTGTCATGGAAACCAGCCACACCTGGAGAGGCATCAGGACCCACTGGACTTGTGGTGGGATCAAGAGACAAGGAAGATTCTGAGAACTGCAGTGATGGCCCATTTTGACAGAGGGCCCCCTGGCCAGGTCTACTGGGGCTTCCTTCTTCCCTAGAAGCTCTGCTTACTTCAACACTGGCACCTACAAAGAAAAAGAGACTATGTTGGACATTGTGGTTTAACAAGATGGAGCCATTCAGACATACAGTTATATAGAACCCAGGAACATGTGCATAGGAGCACTGAACCTCCATATCCTCACCGATAAACTGGCATTGGCCTCACCCTCCATTCAGGGGCTGTAGAATTTTTTTTTTTTTTTTTGGGTCCGGTTGTGGGGCCTGAACTCTGGGCCTGGGCGCTGTCCCTCAGCTCTTCAGCTCAAGGCTAGCGCTCTACCACTTGAGCCATAGCACCACTTCTGGCTTTTTTCTTTTTGCTTATGTGGTGCTGAGGAATCGAACCCAGGGCCTCAGGTATGCAAGGCAAGCGCTCTACCACTGAGCCATCTTCCCATAGCACCACTTCTGGCTTTTTTCTTTTTACTTATGTGGTGCTAAGGAATCGAACCCAGGGCCTCAGGTATGCAAGGCAAGCGCTCTACCACTGAGCCATCTTCCCAGCAGGGGCTGTAGAATTTAAATACTGTTTCCTTTTAATTTAAATAAGAATAAGAAATCTTTGGTCAGGCGGCTGAGATCTGAGGATCATGGTTCAAAGCCAGCCCAGGCAGGAAAGTCCTTGAGACTCTTATCTCCAATGAACCACTAGAAAACCAGAAGTGGCACTGTGGCTCAAGTGGTAGAACACTCACTGAAGAGCTCAGGGACAGCTCCCAGGCTCAGAGTTCAAGTTTATATTTGAGAGGGGAGAGGGGAGAATTATGAGGGAGGAGTTAACAAGGGTTTAAAAAGAAATGTACTCATTACCTTATGTAACTGTAACCCCCGTTCATCACCTTTACAATAATTTTTTTTAAAGCTTATATTCTCCAGAACAAAAAATCTTAAGGCAAAGAGGTAATTTGAGCAGAAAAATTCTGCACAAGTAAAGACACAAGTCTTAACTACCAGTTAAGTTAAAAACACTTAGGTTTAAACAACAGTGACTTTACGCTCATGCCAAATTCAGTCTCATCCAGTAATATTACTATGCATAAATGTATTTCCTTCTCAAAGAATAAGAAAATAGCAGGGCACTGGTAAGTGTAATTTATGTTCTGAGGAGGCTGATCTTTGAGGATCACAGTTGGAATCTAGCCTGGGCATCCCAATTAACCAGTAAAGCTGTGGCTTAAGTGGTAGAGCACTAGTCTTGAGCACAACAGCTAAGTGGCAGTCCCCAAGCTGTAAGTTCAAGCCCTAGTATAGGACCCCTCCCTCCAAAAAAACCCCCACAACTTTTAAAAAATTGCCTGTACCACTGGACACCAGTGGCTCACACCTGTAATCCTAGCTACTCTGAGATCTGAGGATCACGGTTCAAAGCCAGCTCAGGAAGGAAAGTCTGTGAGACTCTTATCTCCAATAAACCACTAGAAAACCAGAAGTAGTGCTGTGGCTCAAGCAGTAGAGCACTCGCTTTGAGCTGAAGAACTAGGGACAGTGCCCAGGCCAAGAGTTCCAGCCCCACGACTGACCAAAAAATTTAAAAAAATTAAAAAAAAATTACCTATATCAGCAGGTGCTGGTAGCTCACCCCTGTGTTCTAGCTACTTAGGATGCTGAGATCTAAGGATTATGGCTCAAAGCCAACCCAGGCAGGAGAGTCTTATCCCCAATTAACCACTAGAAAACTGGGAGAGGAAATGTGGCTCAATGTGGTAGAGCCCTAGCTTTGAGGAGAAAAGCTCAGGAACAATGTCTAAGCCCCAAGTTCAAGCCTTAGGACCAGCACTTATAAAAAGAAAAAAAGGAAAACAAAACTGCCTGTGCCTGAGTTTGAACTCAGGATTTCTGGCTTGCTCAGCTTCTTTGCTCACTGACATTTTACCACTTGTGCCGTGGCTACAGCCCTGCCTTTTGCTGATTTTTTTTTTTTTTGGGTCCGGTCGTGGGTCCTGAACTCTGGGCCTGGGCGCTGTCCCTCAGCTCTTCAGCTCAAGGCTAGCGCTCTACCACTTGAGCCACAGGGCCACTTCCGGCTTTTTTCTTTTTGCTTACGTGGTGCTGAGGAATCGAACCCAGGGCCTTGAGCATGCAAGGCAAGCGCTCTACCACTGAGCCACCTACCCAGCCCTTGCTGATTATTCTGAAGATGAAACTTGGTGAACGTTTCTGACCAGGCTGGCTTAGAGCTTCAATCCTCCTGATCTCAGCTTCCTGAGTAGCCCAAGATTTACAGGTGTAAGACAGAGATTTCTTATAATTAAATTACCTGCAGTATTTCCCCTGGTGGGTGAACTAGTCAGTAGTGAGGTAGGAAAGGTTCTAAAGGGCTCCCAAGCACAGCAGGTTCCAAACTTGCATTAGACCCCAAACATATGAAGAAAGTATCCAGAAAAGATCAACCAATAACAAAGATACCTCTGGGCTGGGAAGGTGGCTCAGTGATAGAGCGCTTGCCTTACATGCCTGTGGCCCTGGGTTCGATTCCTCAGCACCACATAAGCAAAAAGAAAAAAAGCCGGAAGTGGTGCTGTGGCTCAAGTGGTAGAGAGCTAGCCTTGAGCT